TTTTGAATTTCTTGATTTTTTCCCCCATGAAGGTATTGTGTAATAAGCGTGGTTGGAAAAGCTACCAGCTGCTGGCAAAAGCATTTCCTTGGCCTGTTGACTTGGGGGATTCTTGGGTGTAAACACGGTCTGATTCCTTTTCCCATCCTGTTTTCCTGCCTTACACTGTACAATTGCTTCTTCAGCCCAGTGCTCTGGCTCCATCTCGTGGCAACATCTAAAACTGTGTCCTTCAGCTGGACAATTTACCTGTCCTATCAGGAAATCTCTCCAGTTGTCAGGGATCATAAAAGCCTAGCATCAAGTCCCCACCACTTGAAGCCTTGCTTGCCTACAAGAGATGGCCAGCTCAGAATGCATCCTCCATTACTATACCCTCATAGATTCCAGGAAGTTTCTATTGCACTAGGTTTTCATACCATCCCCCAAAATGCACCCCAATTCCAGCTGGCTCTCCCCGAACTCTCTCCCTCCATCCCTTCCTCCTCAACCTGATCCCTCCCACTACCATCCCCCCACCCCTAGTCCACCCATAGAATCTATTCTATTTCCCCCTCCCAGGGAGATTCATGATTCCCCACCCCACCCCACCCCTATAGCCCTCCTCTTTACCTAACCTCTCTGGGTCTATGGATTGTATCTTGACTATCATTTACTAAACAACTAATAGCCACTTATCAGTGAATACATACCATATTTTTATTTTTGTGTCTATGTTGCCTAAGGATTTTTTTTTTTCTAGTTGCATCCGTTTGTGTAAATGCACCACATTTTCTTTATCTATTCCTCTGTTGAGAGGCATCTAGGTTATTTCCAGTTTCTGGCTATTACAAATAGCACTGCTATGAACATAGCTGAGCAATTGTCCTTCTGAAATTATTGAGCATCCTTTGAGTATATGCCCAAGAATGGAATAGCTGGGTCTTGAGGTAGATTGACTCCTGGTTTTCAAAGGAACCACTGTATTTATTTCCATAGTGGCTGTACAAGTTAGCACTCCCACCAGCAATAAAGGAGTGTTCCCCTTGCTCCACACCCTCTCCAGCACAAGCTGTCACTTGGGTCATTGGTCATAGCCATTCTGATAGGGATAAGACAGAATCTCAAAGTAGTTTTGATTTGCATTTCCCAGCATTCAGTTGAGTTGATGGCAGAGGAGGTTCCATGGAGATCCCTAAACAACTCGGGCTGATACTAGAACAGAAGGTCGCTCTCTGAAAACTGAGAGTGGGGCCCCATAGCCGAGGACAACTTCCACACAGCTCTCTGAATGTAGAGAGGTTGAACTGGTGTAGGCTCGGAGCCATTACCCCAACTTTCTAGTCTCTTTGGCACAAGAAGCTACTCTGCAGGCTACAGAAAGAGGAACCTGGACACCAACCCAGCCACAAAACCCCCCACCTACCATCTGTCCTGCCTACAAGATGTGCTGGGGCAATGGAAGCACAGAACTTGAGGGAGTGGGCAACCAATGTTTGGTTGAACTTGAGGCCCAACCCACAAGAGGGAGCCCATGCCTAACACTGCCTGGATGTCCAGAAACTGGAGACTGGGTAGAACCAAGTACAACTGGAAAAAAAAAAATCAATGAAATGAAATGATCCTTAGTGATACTCTGCTATATTCATAGACAGGTAGTTTGTCCAGTAGTCATCAGAGAGGCCTCCCTCTGGCAGCAGATGGGAGTAGGTATAAAATCCCACAGCCAGACACAATCTGGAGAGATGATCTAAACTGGAGTCTCCATCAGGACCCTCTCCTCAGAGACCGGTAAACTTCACAGAAGAAGAGGAGGCAAGAGTGTAGGATTCAGAGGACATGGAGGACACTGGGAGAACATGGCCCACTGAGTCAAGTAACAGAGCTCTCATGGGCTCACAGAGGCTGAAGAGGCAAGTGCAGGGCCTGAGGGGTCTGCACGGAGTCCTCTGTGTATGTTATGGCTGTTAGCTTGGTGTTCTTGTAAGACTCCTAACAGCGGGAGCAGGTGTATCTCTGACTCTTGTGCAGGCTCTCTAGACTCTTTTCCTCCTATTGGAAACCCTGTCCAGGCTGGGTATGAGGACTCTTGTCTTACTGTTTCTTGTTTGGTTTGGTTTGGCTGTTGTCTCTTGGAGGCCTGCTCTTTTCTGAAGAGGAAACAGAAGGGGAGTGGATCTGGGACAGTAGGGAAGTGGCGGGGGTTGCTAGGAGGAGTGGGGGGGAGGGGAAACTGTGGTTGGGTTGTATTATATGAGAGAAGAATCTGTTTTCAATTAAAGGGGGAAGGGTCTCAAGCAGTCCAAACTTGCTACGTAACTCCACCCTCCTGACAAAACCACCTCCTCCAAGTCCCCAGTCCTAATACTTCCAATGTGTGAAGGGGGCCGGGGGCAGGATGGCATATGTACACATCATAGCACTTACCAAATCACCATCATTTATTTCCCAGACCACAGCTAAGCGAGACCAGAAAGGTCTCCACGGTAGCTCACTGACTATATAGTGACCAACACAAACACAACACTGTCCAGTGTGAAACTCTGACGGCTCCTGCCACTCATAGGCCAACTCTCCATCTCCTTGCCATGGCTGACGAAGCCTTGCTTCCTCGCCAGATCATTTCCAGAAAGCTTAGTCTCCCAAATACTCTTCAAATTGCCAAACGGTCTCCTGCCTCAGAATCTCAGCACACACCATTCCTTCTTTCCTCCCGTCTATCCTTTCTGCCCTCGGCACAAGGCTGACTTACTCTAGCCACCGAATACCGGTATACTCACACTTGACTCCTTTAATTTCCCGTCTCTCTCATAGGTCCTCAAATTCCACACAAGAGACGTCTGGTTTGTCCACAAGTGTACAACTCACTGCCAGCATAACAGACATAACCCCGAGGTCGATGGCCGCCATCGAATTCTAGGCAATACATGAAGTGCCGTCGAATTCTAGGCAATAAAGTGCCTCGTGTTACCACATCAAATTAAAACCTCAAAGGTGACAAAGATCTGTCATCTTTTTGTTCTTACTGAAATATTGTGGCTTGAATGTGACATGTCTCCCATAGCTTGTGTCTTTGAACACTGGGTCCCCAGCTGACAGCTCTTGTTTGGTAAGGCTGTGACTTCTGGGAAGAAGTGGGTCCCTAAACCTGGTCCTCCTTCCTGCTCATGCTTTACTTCAGAAGACCGCAGATGCAATGTAAGCGGCAGCCTCTCCCACTGCCATGACGACTGTTAGCTCAACAAACTGCTCCTCTCTGACGTTGCTTCAGATCAGGTATTTTGTCATGGCACTGATAAACACCAAAATGACCCTCAAGTAAGTCCCAGGGTCCGAGACATGAGATTCAATGGCCTGATGACATCAGGGATCCAAGTACCTGGGGCAGGATTCCCAATTAGGAGCTTGTCTAAACAAGCTAGAAGCAAGTCTAAACTTGTTTGGCTTTAGCAGGATGTCAATCCACGCCCTTCTACGTGGACCCACGTCTTCAATGAGCCAACACTTCTTTGCCCTTCACTCTCCTGACAACCGTCAGCTCCCTGCCACCTCATACTGACTGACCACACAGAGAAAGTCCTGTGGGCTTGACTCTTTCGGTTTAGGTGCGAGGTGAATGTTGGTGGAGGAAAGGCCCTGACTCCCAGTGTTTGGACAAGTAGGACTCTTACATCAACATACATCTGGTACATCAAAAGCAAAACACTCTGCAGCCTCAGCCAGAGACTAAGCCTGTGTTTTTTGCCTAATCAGAAAAGTTACCAAAAAAAAGGGGGGGGGGGGTTGAGTCAGTCGACTTAAACATACTAAAAGAAATTACATGGAAATTTTATTTCACATTAAATGACTCAAAAATATGCTGGGAATGATGATACAATCTTATTTACTTTACTCAGAAAGCAAAGGCAACAGGATTAGAAATTCAAGGTCAAAGGGAGGTTTGTTTGTTCGGGTTTTTTGTTTTGTTTTGTTTTTCGGAACAGGACTTCTTTCTCTGTGTAACAGCTCTGGCTGTCCTGGAACTCACTCTGTAGACCAGGCAGGCCTCGAACTCAAAGATCTTCTTCCTCCCAAGTGCTGGGATTAAAGGCATTCAGCATAATTGCCCCGCGTCATACGGAGTTTAAAGCCAGCCTGGGCTACATGAAGCCCTGTCTCAACATCAAAAAATATTTTTTATCAAGGGACACAAAAGGTGAAATCACAGTGGTTCTCAACCTATGGGTTGTGACCCCCTCGGGGTCAAATGATCCTTTCACAGTGGTTGCCTAAAATCATCGGAAAACACTTATATTTAATTATAATTCAGAACAGTAGCAAAATTATAGTTAAAAGGTAGCAACAAAAATAATTTTATGGTTGGGGGTCACCATAACATGAAGAAATGTATTGAAGGGTCACAGCATTAGGAAGGTTGAGAACCAGCTGCTCTATCAAATTGTCACTATATCCCAATAATTATGAGATTCCCTAGACATTCAACAAAAGACTACCTAAAGATTCTAGGTACTTCCCTAAGGTGAGCATACTTCTACCAAACTGAGAACCACACCATTAACCCTGTATACCCATGCAACCACATCTTCTAAATCCCATATCTTGAAGTCTAAACCTCTAGTACCTAGAATGTAACTCTATTTGAAGAAGGGATCTAAGGAGGTAATTAAGGTAAGACAAGATGGTGTAGATAAGGTCCTAACCAGTATCTCTAGAATCCTCGAAAGACCACATGTGGACGGGGAGAAGGCTAATCTAGGGGAAAGGCCACGTGTGGACAAGAAAGCCAGACTAGAACTGTCACCTCTTGCTCTCTAGCTTCCAGAACTGCAACAAGATGACTCTTTTGGCGTACACCGCAGAGTCTGTGCCATCTGAACCAGTGGTGACCCCAGAAACAGTATGAAAAATTCTAGTGGAGACATGATTTTGTTAGGGATACCCTGGTCAACTATAACGAACCAGTAAAGTGACGTAGAATAAGGGGAGTGGGGATAAAGGAAAGAAAAGAATCAAAGACAAAATGTGTTGACATATTTTATATTTGGTATTTGTAAGTCTTTAAAAAAGTTTTTCAGGCCATTTTTGTCCTTAAAAAAAAAAAAAAGCAACCAACAGCAATACTCTGTACAAGTCTAACAGACATTAGAAATGTGCATCATTCCAAAATAGTTACAAGAAAAGTACAGTTTAGAGTCCACATCAACACTTCTATTCTGTGCCCCAGGGAAAAAAAGCTATAGTTGTTACACACAGTTGCTACACGGTGGTCTGAAAACACAGAATTCCGACGTGGTTTTGAGGAGAATCAACTTCAGTCACCAGGGCTGGCTGTTTAGCTCCACAAGCACAATCAAGCATTGCAAAAGAAAACCGGGCTTCTCCATCCCAGCAAAACAAGTCTGAATCAGCTGCATAGTTGACCCTTCCCTACCTCCTCCCCACCCCCACCCCGCAGAGCCTCCAACTCCACAGAGCACAGATCCAGAGGGTCCACTGCGCCAGAGTCTGGCTGGAGGTCACCGAGTGCCCGCAGAGAACAGACACGGAACCTCCTTCTGGTGCCCACTGCCGCTAGATTCAGCTCTGGAGGAAAAGTCTCTGATCTGAGAAGACATCCATGGCCCGAGTCTTCCACAGCAGCGGGCCACCAGTCCGTAGCCCTTTCGTTGATGGCGAGTCCCACGCGGGCTGCTTTTGTCCAGGCAACCCTTACATCCGAGCAGGGAGCTCCATCATTCCAATCTCACCAGACTCTTCAAATTTTGGTTCGCACTTCCATCGAGGGCTGGGGGAATCCAGCGAGAAGTGCCTTCCCCTCACCTCGGAACAGGCCCGGCCTCTGTCAGGAGTCCTTCTTAACCACATGGTCATCGTCCCTTTCCCATGACTGTGCTATGCAAACCCCACCCCACAGTCCTCCTCCAGATGTGGAATGGCGCGGTGGCCTTCGTGTGACCTGCCCGTTTGGAACTCCTGACCTCTCTGCCGCTAGCCTTCTTCCTCCTGGGCCTGGAAATCACAGAGAGTGGCTTGCTGGGGCTGGGGCCTAAGGACTTCCCAGACCCACACAGGCAGAAGCAGAGAAGGTTTCTGTGTTTTGCATTTGCATACAGCAGGTTTATGATTATGTTGCTTTCAGTTTTTAAGAGACTCCGATCTTTTACAGGACTTTGTTGGGGCAAGTCCTTTCCTCGGCCTTTCCCATGGCAGTGGGGGCAGGGCCTAGGCGCTGCACTGGATGTGACACCTTGCTACCCACTACAATGGTTCCTAACACACTGAGGAGGTGGGTAGGTGGTACACAGAACTACTGCGGGACAGGCCCATCTGTATAGCACCCCAGAATCAGCACATGCTAGGGGCGGGCAGACTAAATGGGACTCGGGAGCAATGAGCCCATGTCCACTTCATTCCACACCTGGGGGCAGCATGGCTTCCCTGATTCACAACTGCAGTATCAAAGTCCCTAGTGAAGTTGAGTCAAGGGGCCCAACCTACCCTGGCCAGTCCTTTCCCGGAAGGGCCCGACACAAAATGAACACCAAAATGCAAAAGATTTAGCAAAAAGTGCAGTTTCCATTTGAGAAGTAAAATTCTCCACCAAAGCATGACAACGTCCCGACCTCTCCTTTCAATCCTCTCAGTACCTCAAAGGAAAGGGGGACAGAACACATAGAGCACTACAGCTCTGACCACACCAAGGGTAAGTACATCATGGTTCACCCTCTACAACCCTCAAACACTCGTGATCATGTCCAGACAGCCGTCAAAGTGCTGGTGAGGTGAAGAGCGGAACACCAGAGGACTACTCCAGGGCCCACAGTGGCCAGGACCCGCAGAGAAGACCCCGCTCTCATCTCCAACAGGATACCACTGTCCCAACGTACAGCAGGATGTGTCACTGTGGAAAACAGCCACAGGATCCAGGGACTTGGGATTCCTTCATAAGACCTTATATACTTCATTGCCTACTAGAGAATAAACTCAAAACTTCTTCAAATATAACCTGAGCCACAAGATAAAAAATAAAAGACACAAATCTTGTCATGTTAATGCCTTGAGAGGTTTACAGATTATGTACCAATAAAATAAATCCACATAAATTCTGAAGTTCTTGGTGAATACACACCTGAAGCAAAAAAACAAAAACAAAAAAAACTACATTTTCTTTAAAAATCAAAGTAATTACAGCAGCAGTGTAGTGAAAAGAGGTTTTAAAAATAATAATTACATCTTTGATACAAATCAAACTTTGTACACCTCAATTCATAGGAATGACTGGTGTAAGGGTTTAGTATTTATATATACAGTAGATACTGACGTGTGTCACTGCAGATAAGAGTCTAAAGCCAGTAGACTTTGGGGGGGGAAGGGGTTAATCTGAGTTGACACTGAAATGTTCACAGATCACCACACTATAAAACACACACACACACACACACACACATATACACAGACACACATAAAATGCCAACCTGAGTAAAACATCACTAAAAACCCAGAGCATCGGGATCCACTAAGTCACATATTGCACCTTTAAATCATCCTTCTTACCAAAGACAGAAATAAGAGCAAGTAGAAGACAGGACAGGAAGGGGTGTACACCACGGTACGACGATTCCTCTGCTTCTGCCGCCCGCCCCCCACCCCACCCCACAGAGAGTCTCATGGTAATATTTTCAATTTCTATTCTCACCCAACCAATGGGATGAAAATGTCACCAACAGAAGTCTTTGGAGAAAACTGGGAGGGGAAAAAAAAAGAAAAAAGAATGGAGCACAAATGTATGTCCAGGGTGGGTCAAAGAGAAAACCTCCTCTAATCAAATGAGAACAGGAATGTTACTGAGAAGGCAGACCTTTGATACTAAGCTACTATTTAAATATTCTGTATATTCCAATTATGAGATTCAATATAAAAATAGAGACATCTACTGAGTTTTGCCTGTGGAAGCATAATTCAAAAAAGGCACATGTTCAAATAGAAACCCATGCAGAAAAGGCACAGTGTGCCCCTCCCTGCATGGTAAACACCCACAGTCATGTATTCTATCAGCTAGATTCCAAGATACAGTAGGTAAAAATAGACCTCTGATACTTAAAATAGATTCAACCCAACATAATCCTGGCTTTAGCATGTGAATCATATAAAAGTCCTAAAAAAAATTAGAGAGGGAGAGGGGGAGAGAGGGGGAAGGGGAAGGAAGGAAGGGAGGAAGGGAGGGAGAGAGGGAGGGAGGGAGGGGGAGAGGGGAGAGAGAGAGAGAGATTTGGAAAAGAAAAATAAATCATAGCTCACTTTTCCTGGTTTTCCACAATTCTCAAGGGGAAAAAAAAGCGACCCCATCCCATTGATAATCAGGAATGCAGCTGATTTATACACCACCTGTCCACAGCCCCTGACAACCCCAACTCCCTATCTGCCATGTTTTACACGCACAGCCTCATGCCCTCCAAGGCAGTTCTAACAGAACAGAACAAAGAACTGAGAAATGAGACATATAAAAACATGTCCACATCAGGGCATTCTCCTTCACTGTGGGTGTGACGGTCTGGTTCACTTCAGAAGGGTTGGCTTTGGAACTAGGCGATGTAACCATTAGTCTTTCCAAACATGCTCACGGGCTCGAGGTTTTCATAGATTGTCATTGCAGTTGTATTCTGATAGATGAGATCAACTTTTGAGTCTTTCTGGGCTCTGATAATATCCAAAACACACTGATTGAGGAAAACATACTGGTCCTGGGAGAAAAGGCAAGGAGAGAGAATCAGTAAGCACAGGTCCCAGGGATAAGCACTCAAGATGACTTCCAAACAAATAACCACCACCACATCACCCGCAAACGCCATCCGTCCAGCAGCAAACAGTTCAAGTTAACACATCTTGGGATCTAAGAACATCCTGGTGAAACTCAGAACCACATATCATGGCTTTCTTTATCAGTGATGCTTAAAGAGAGGTGCATCCTCACCTTTCCTGGCCAAGGAAACATCAGAGCCCTGGGGAGGGTGGGACAAAGATGTGGAGGAAATAAAACTTAAACACGTTCAGATGATAAAAGTTCAGCCAGATTTCTGTGGTTAAGGAATCTGTGTGGAGTAAGAGTAAACTTAATCCTCCAAAGAGGAGAAGGGCTAAAGGAGGTCAGGGGGACCTGAGTGGGGACCACTTTAGGGAAATATGATGATTAATCTTAATCATCAACTGAAAGAAATCAGAATCACCTAGGAGACACACCGCTGGGTGTGTATGAGGGCATCTCCAGAGAAGGTTACCTGAAGAGGGAAGACACATCCTGGATGTGGGTGTCCCCATCCTAGGGGCTGAGGTCTGGAGCGAGTGAAAAGGAGAAAGCGAGCTGAGCACCAACATCCATCTCCCTCCTTCCTAACGGCAGACAGAATGTGACCAGCCACCTCATCCTGCTGTTGCCATAACTAACAAGACACTCTCATTGGTGCACCGTCCCTTCCATGATGGACTGTACCCCAAACCATGAGGCCAAGTAAACTTCAGCACAGTAACTAATACAACAAGTGTATCAGAATCTACAGGTAGCTGTTTAAATAGAGGCAGAATATATGCTGACACAGAAAAAATAACCAGGTGCCATAGAGAAAACTTCCTAAGGACGTGTTATATATAAAACATGATCTGGTCTTTTCCAAATATCCCACATATGTATGTGGGCACATGTTCACAGTGTGCACAGAGTCCTGTAGTGACACCAGCTATGTCTGTTCCTTCTCTTGCTGCTGTGACCAATTAGCTAACAAGAAGCAATTTAAGGGAAGAAGGGGGTCTTCCGGCTCACAGCCTAAGAAGGGATACAGCCCACCGTAGCTGGGAGAGGACGATGGCAGGATCATCAGTTCGCTGCTCACACTGCATCCACAGTCAGGAGGCAGAGGGCAGACAGGAAATGGAACCCCGATATAAAACCTTAAGGCCCGCCTCTAGTGACCCACTTCCTCCAGCAGGGATCTGCTCCCTGAAGGTCCCACAACCCTTCAAAGTGGCACCACAAGCTGAGGACCACATGTTCAAACACAC